AAAGGAACACTGGTGAATGTGGGTGAGGACTTCCTGTGTTCTAAGTTGGGAGCGACATTTAGAGACTGAGGAGTGTCTCTTGTCCCCTTCTATATTTCTCTGAGCACAACCTACCATGAAGATGGCTTTGACTGGGGGTCTGAGAGCAGTAAACATAACGCCTAGTGCCTACCTGTGACAGCAGGGAACAATTACATGGGCTGCAGATTCTTCTTGGGCCATCAGCGGGATAGAAGGAGGTAGGACACATGTGCTATCCTAGCTAGTCTATTCCTAGCTGTGGTTCTGGGGCCCCGGGCCTGCAGTTACTTCCGGACTGGGCCTGTATGCATGAGGCTGTTATGGAATTATGGGGGTGGGGCCCCACAGAAGTCAGCTATCTGGCAGCTTTGGAGGCTTCAGCTGCTGAGAGCCAGGTTAGGTGTTGGTGAATTCCCAAAGGGCTGCAGGACAATGTGGCCTTTTTTTTTTTTTTTTTTTTTTTTTGTATTTTTACTGGTACCAGGGATCAAACTAACAACCACACACTTGCAAGGCAGGCGCTTATGCCACTGAGCTAAAGTCCCAACCCGGAGAGTGTGGTCTTTTAAGACTGCCTCTCCTAGCCTCAGTTTCTTTGCCTGTATAATGGGAATGGTGACACTGAATCTGCCTGTCTCACCACTGGTTATGAAGATTTACCTGACACTTGCTGAATTCCCAGCTGGGGAAGGAGGTCTACGCTCAGAGATAGGCTAAGGATTGAGGGGTGAGTGAATGAAGGGAAGTGGGGCCATCCTGGAGGAAATGAAAGGCTTTTTTTTTTTTTAACAGAGAAGGCAGTTTGGCTTGGGGTGCATCTGCTGCCGTGGGCCAGACAGGCTTCCAGGAACACAGACTCAATGCAGATGAAGGGCATGAGACTGTAAGCAGCAGACTCTCAGTGAGAGGAGTTCAGGGATCAACCTGAGAAGGGACACTAAAGTCACAGCAAACAGGGGCTGTGACTGGCTCCCCTTACCAGTTCTGGGTCTTCCTCTGGGGGTGGCTGGGTCCTCGCTGCCGCTTGGAATGAGGGGTGAGGTGGTAGATGAGCTGCCGGCAGATTTTGTCGGAGGATTTCCAGAGCTCATAGTCCTGTGGGGTTGGGGGCAGCGTTTTCAGGGTGAGACTCAGCCCTTTTTACGCCCACCCCCATCACTCCCCCCCTTGATCTGGCCCAAAGCCAGGGAAGGCTGCCTGCTGGAAGCAGGTCAGGCTGGTCCAAAACCCGCAGTGCCAGGCGGGAGGAAGCCTAGACAATGGGCCCTTGTTCCCTGTTCTCAGGCCTAGGGCCAGCAGCTCCAGCTAGCAGCTGGTGGCCTGCTCACCCTCCGTACCCCCAGGGGATTTGCCGCAGGGGGAGTCCAGACTAGGCCCCTCGAGGGAGCCCTGCTCCACTGACGCCAATCCCAGGGAATAGGAACGAGCCAGGTCAGCAAGATCTTCTTCTCATTTTCCAAGCTATATCATGCCTGTGGGCCTGGGTCTGCGCTGATAGGGCTGGGGGTTAATGTTTTACAGCCCTACATCCTGACTCTCTCAGTCCTGACCGGGGCCCCTACAGAGGCCCCCACAGAGGCTGGGGGTGGGTACATGGCGAGCCGTCCACAAAGCTGGCACCAGTCATGCTCCACTACCTGGAATGTTCCTTTATACAGTCCCTTTGTTCACTGCCCCAGGAGCATGCGACATACACAGGGACAGCAAGTCCTGGTGGTTATTGTGATAGCTGTGGGTAGCCAACGGTACACAGATGCCAGAGTTGGCAGAGCGTGCGGTGGGCACCCTTGTTTCACGTAGGGGATTCACTGTGAGCAGTGCTCGGGAGCTGGTGCACACAGGTTGGGGCTGCTCGTGGAAGGACATTGGCAGACAGTGTCAGGGCAGGGAGTGGAGGCTGCAGGTGGCAGACTCTGGCTTAGCATGAGGAGGGACATGCCTGTGACCTAAGCTACCACGGGAGGGACGCAGAGAGCATATCCCAAGGCTGTACAACCAGGACAGAGAGCAGTAAATGGGGCTCCAGCCTAGGGCAGCTCTCTTCTGCCCCAGGAACTCAGGAGTGTGAGTCCAGTTCTGTTTATGAATTGGTCAGAACAGCCGGTATCCTACAGGTTCCCCACATGAGATATGCTCAGGTGGTGTCCTGAGGCCTGGGGCACAGACAGTGGTGCTACTGTGGAGACGGGTCCACCCTTACCTTCTTGGGGCACTGCAGGTCCCGGGCCAGGTTCACCAGAAGGTCATGGGAGATGGGGTCCACCAGGTTAAGGAAGGTCACATTTCTGTAGAGGATGTCAGTGAGGAGGGTCCCCTCAAGGCCCAAGTCCTGTGGGTGATGCAGAGGTAGGTGAGTGTGTGGAGTTTTTCTTCTGGCTGATCAGCCAGATGCCCCTCCTGCTGATTCCTGTGCCTGACCTCCCTCCCTGAGGCTTCCTGGAGTCTCCTCAAGGCGGTGACACAGCAGCAGGTGGACCTTTAGATACAAAGAGGGGTGGTACGCCAGGGCCCTCATTGGAGGCAATAGGCAGATGGAAATGGTAGTGTCTTTCTGTGGCATCTTTCCTTCTCGGGGCTGTCTGCTCCTTGGATGACCCCTAAATGGCAATGTCCCCAGGATTCCTTTTGGACCCTTTATTTTCCCTCTGATCCCTGAAATCTTTTGGGCTACAGCCACCACCCCACCCTGTGGGCATGGGCCTCTCTCCCAACTCTGATGTTCCAAAAAACGCTCAGACTCTGCGTGTTCTCCCCCTGCCCTGAAGCTGACCCCATGTCCTGTGTGCCAGCTCGATGTAGGGAGGGAGGGCGCAACATCGCCCACCTTCCCAGGAATCATCCGGCACTTTTCTCTTGCCCTCGCTCCTCCAGATCACTTAAGGGGTCCACTTTTTCCTTTCTGCTGCTCCTGCTGAGGTCCAACCCCCGCACCCCACTGCCAGGGTTCCCAGCCTCTCACAACCCTCCAGCTCAGGCTGCTAGAGCATCTCCATGAAACACACACCTGATTTTGATCCTTAACCCCTTTGGTGGAGATCGAGTGCTCTGACAGTGAAATGCAGGGTCTCTGAACTCCCCTTGCCAGCTTCTTCTCCTACCTACGGTCAGGGCACTGGCCTGGCCTTCCTGCCCTTGTTCTTTGCTTCCTCCTCTCCATTCCTGTAAGGACAGAGATCCCTCCAGAGGGTCCACTTAGAGGACGCACTGACAGCCGATGGCCAGGCACAGTCAGGGGGAACCTCCAGCCTCTGTGTGTGCCCTCCCCAAGCCAAAGCAAACGACATGCCCTGCATAGTAGTCTCGGGAACAGAAAGTCAGGACAACAGGAGCGACTACTCCTGCAGGTTATCGGGCTTCAGAAGAGGCCCTGTGCTAAGCTTCAAATCTTAACCTATGGGTGACCCAGATAGTTTCCGAGTGGCCTTCTGCCTCTGTTTCCAGGGGAAATGCCCAGCTGGCGCCTTGGGCTCCAGACACCACCCCAGACAGCAGTCTGTGCCCCTGGTCAGTCTGGCTGATTGGGTGCTACACTGCTGTTTGCATTTTCAACATGGTTTGAGCCACAGATGCCAGCTAGGGAGATTCCAGAAGGAAGAAGGGGAGGCTGGTGAGTATGGGGAGCCCCTGACAGGGCCCCAGACCGCAGCCTGCCTTCCCTGGTCTAGACAGCTCCTCTTAAAGGGCCAGTTCCACCTTTCCAGCCCACTGGGTCCAGCCGAGACCTGGGGCTGGAGAAGGAGCAGGTCTGGTTGGCCAGGTTCTAGTCCCGGCTCCCCTCTCTCGGTTTTCTCCACGGACCCTAGGCTCACCACTTCTTGCCATGCCTCAGTTTCCCCCATCACCACTCATCTACCTTCTGGAGGCTAAACACCTGCATGCATGGCTGATTTCGGCTCACAGGGTTGGGCAAGTGGTGGTGGCAGCTGCTGCAGGGCATGAGAACTAGGTAGAGTGAGAAGCAGTTTACCCAGGGATGGTGCCGGAACCCACATCCGTGTTGCTCAAGGCTCAGGATCTCAGCCCAGGGTACCTGATATGTGTGGACCCAGAGCTCTCACTTGCCCAAACGTGTCATTGTGATGTACAGACACTAGACTTGTGTACTCAGTGGGCACCAGCTGCCTGCTAGGATGCATGCCTGGTGGCTTTGTCTGTCCTGCCATGGTGCCTCCGTGTACACCGCAGGCCAGCTGGGCTGCCACTTCCCAGGGTCCAGTGCTCCCCCTCATCCTGGAGCAGAAAGGAGCTGCCTTTTTCCCATTGTCCTTCAGTACAAGATGATCCCCCACCCCATCCGGCCCTCGTTTTCTTGCCAAGGCCTGAATCTGGGCTCAGCTCCAGCCGGGGCACCCTCACAGACAACAGACCCCAGACCCCTGACCTAGCGGCCACCTCCTCCTACACAGTCTGCCAGCCTCAGCAGCCGTCCCTCCAGCCCGCGCTCTTCCTCAGCCCTTGCAGCCCGTCTAGCTCTCGGAATCCACCCAGCCAGCAGCCAGCAGCCCCGACCCCTCCCGGCCCGCGGTCCCCGGCCCGTCCCCGGCCGCCCGCTCCTTCTCTCGCCTGGCGCAGAAGGCACAGCAGCTGCCGGGCGCGCTCGGGCCGCCGCTCGCGGAGCGTGGACTGGATCTCGCGGAGCCAGCGCACCCGGCGCTCGTAGGGCGCGGGCCCGCCGCCTGCCGCCGCCCCGGCCTCCGAGCCCGCCTCGGGCCCTGCCCGCCGACCCAGCCGCGCCCCCATGGCTGCAGAAAGGCGGGCGCCAGGCGGGCGGGAGGCCGGGCTGTCTGCACCGCACCTCGCCCGGGCCCCGCCCCTCCACGGCCGCCGGGGTGCGCGGGGCGCGGGGCGCCGGGTCCAAGGCTGCGCGCCTGGGCTCTGCTGCCCGCGCGGGGGCGAAGGCGTGGGGGTGGGGGTCCTCGGTGTAGCAGGGGAGGGCACGCCTGCGTCAGACCTGGCGCTAGAGTTCTTCCCGAGAGCCGCCAGGGGAGTCACTGAGCCCGGTCAGGACTAGGTGGCGTCTGGCACCACTCTATTCTCTGGCTCCAGTGCTGACTAGGGAAATAGTCGCTTTGACCGTTTGCAGGCGGGGTCGGGGTGCCTTTTGCCAACACCATTCAATGCCAGCACCTGCTTTCAGGAACCCCTCCTGCAGTGGACATTTGTATCTGGCCTGACCACCCTGCATCTGTACTACCGCACTGATGGATATTTAATACCACTCCCTGCTTCAGCTAGACAGCCTGAGCAGGATGGGTGGAGCCAGTCCTCTCTGACCCCCTTCCCTGGGCGATGAGCAGGCCTGCAGAGGCCCAAGGTTAACTGTGAAGCCCAGCTCTGGACAGGCTAGCAGTGGGCAGGCTGCATCTGCCCTTGGCTCTAGGCTTCTTGCCTAATAAAGGCAAGGACAGCCATCAGTGTGAGAAGGGGTTTCTTGCTCCTCCAGAGGCCCACCCAGCTTGATGGGGGCTCCCTCAGCAGTCCCTAGTGGAGGCCTGCTGTTCCCTACAGCCCCCTACCCTGGTTCTGGGCCCCACACATTACCTGGGTGGGGAACATTTGTGGCACTGAGCCCCAGCAGTCCCTCCCACAGACAAGGAGTATGGCCTTGGTAGGCAGGGCTGGGATGCCCCCTGCACAAGTGTGCATGATGGGAAACCTGCCTGAGGGCATATAGTGACTGAACTGCCAGGATCCTTCCTTTGGGGCACACACTGCCTGCTAGGGATTGGGGGTGGTGTGATCTCGTGGGTGAGTCCCTTAGGAAGAAGACAACAGAATGCAATAATCTCTTGACCACCCTCTGATATCTCAACTCCTGTTGGGCCAATTCCTGTGCCCCCTTCTCCCAAGCAGCCTCCCCTCCTCTCATGTGCAGCCAATATTGTCCCGGGGCCACCTTGGCACAGCAGGTTTCCTCCCTGGCAAACCTGCATGACTGCCCAGTCAGCCCTTCCCCAGGGCCAAGGCGCTGTTGCTGAGTTGACACTGTGACGGGACCGAAGCTTTAAGCAGCAGTCCTAGTACCCCAGGGACCTCTTGGACCTGTCCAGAGCTGGATGCCAGGTAAGCCCTCCTCCTCCCCTGCAGCCACAGGGCTGGAGCCAGACCTGGATGGTTCCCAGATCCTGACCGTGTCATTCCAGAGGCTGAGCCAGGCCTGGAAATTGTCCCCTGAGTGTGAGAAGACTGAGGTGGGAGGGAGAGGTGAGGGGAGGGAGGGCTGAGCACAAGTGCCACAGGGGGATGCCCAGAACTTAAGGTCCTGTGGCGTGTGGAGAACTGCCCCAGCTCTACCGCTGTGTCCCTGGATCAGAGGTTCCTGGAGGACCTTTTTCCAGGAAAGGAGGGAGGCTGGTATCTGGGCACAGATTCCTGGATGGGCTTCCTGCTGCCGGGGGTGCCTTGGGTGAGCTGGCTCTTGGGGAATGTTTCTGGCTTAGTCTGGAGAATTGGAGAGAGCCGTCCGCTTAGGGGTGGAATATCCTTCCACCCCGCCAACCTCTATGTGTATTTAAGGCTACTGGTCCTCCCCTGGAGTTGCCTGGACAGCAGTTTGTGGAGACTCCATGGGGCAGGGGGGACACTTTGATGTTGTCCTCTGCCCCTAGGGATGATGTGAGGTTTCAGGGGGTGTTGACCTGGATCCTTCAGGATAGTCCAGTGAGCTGGTGAGATGAGAACATGGGGGATCGGAAAGTCCTATATGATAGATACAGCCAAACCCCAGGCTTCGATGGGAGTATAGGAGGCCCAGTATAGGATCTACCACGAGAGGTATTGGTGACAGCCACACTTGGGTATCCTAGGCCCTCAGTTACCCATGGGATGACCCAGTTGGAGTGATGGGGAACCAAAGTCTAGGTGAGCTGCAGGTTGGGTGGAGATCAGTGGCTTGGACTGAAACTGGCCTCACCCCACCTTTGAACTCTTTTTACCTCCAATTTGGAAGTAGCCAAGTGACACAGAGCTTCCTAGCCATAACAAACAAGACACACAATGTTTTTGGAACCTTCACCAGGAGCTGGGAGCCAGATAGAATCTCAATGGAGCCGAACTCACCCTTGAACTTGCTCTAGAGGCGTGGGCTGTCAGCCTTCTGTAGGATCAGGAATTGCCTTGGGACTGGAGGCATGGGATGGGAGTGTCCCAAATATGGCTTCAAAATTGCTGGAACTACCCTTTGTTGAGTGTGTGACCATAGACAGGTGGGCAGCCGTTATTAGTTTTCTCTGGCTGCTCTAACAAATTACACAAAGACAATGGTTTAAAACAATAGTTCACTATTTCAGAAGCCAGAAATGAAGAAATAGGCAGGCCCATACTGCCTGGGGCTCTGGGGAGGACCCTTCGTGGCCTCTTCCGGTTCCTGGTGGCTCCAGGGAATGCTTAGCTTCCTTAGCACACACACTCTGAGCTCTGTCTCCTGTTACGGGTCCTTCTTTTCCCTGTGTCTCTTACCATGGCTTCTTCTAAGGACACTTGTTACTCCATTAAGGGCGTACCCTAATCTTATACCTTATCTTATTTAATTACTTCTACAAAGACTCTTTTTTTTTTTTTTTGTCTTTTTCCTTTTTATCAGTACCAGGGACTGAACTCACGACTGCCTGCTTGCAAGGCAGGCGCTTATGCCGCTGAGCTAAATCCCCAGCCCTACAAAGACTCTTTCTAAAACAGGTCAGATTCTGGGCTTCCAAGTAAACATGAACTTGAGGTGGGAGAGGATATTGTTCAACCTACTACCACCAACTGAGGCAAACCTCAGTTTCCTCGTCTGTAAAATCAGCAAAATAAAATGCCTATCTGGCATAAGTGCCATAGAATACTCTGCAGCACTGCACGTTTTGCTAGCAAATATTTCATGGCTTTTTTCTTCCCCGCTGTGGTGTTAGGGTTTGAATCCAGGGCCTTGTGCATGCTGGGGAAGCCATCTGCCACTGTGCTATGCCTCCAGCCCCTCTTCTGTGGTTTTATGCTGAATCTTTCCACCTAGCCCATGGCCAGCATCTGTCCTTTCTGAGATGATTCGTGGGCACCTACAGTACTCTGGAGACTAAGGCAGACACAAGGTGGCAGTAAAACTAGCTTATGGAGTGGGGCAAGAGGATAGAGAAGGGAAGAGTGCTTCCCACCATATTAGCAGCCTGCAAAATTCCTGGAGAGGGCACTGAGTGCAGAGGAATGGACAGGCATCAGCAAGGCAAGAATTTCTCTCCAGGGCAAAGCAGGCCTTTGAAGGGGTTTTTAGTTGGGGAGGAATTTGCTCAGATTTGCATGCCGAGCACTTGTGCTGCATTAGGTAAACAACGGCAAGGTTGCAACTTATGACTAGGAGTCAACCAAGGGATAGGGGTGGGGTGGTGGTGGGGCCTGGGAGAGCAAACACGACTGAGAGGGGCTATACAGGCTGGAGCACCTGGAAAGGATGAGTGAAGCTTTGGGAGTGCTGTGTGGGGCTGGACTCTGGCTTGTATGGCCAGGGAGGCCCGGGGAGGGCAGTTGCTTAGCTCAGGTTTGGGCATGTCGACCTGGGTATCTGAAACCTCAGCCACTGGGCTCAGCAGACTCACTGTTACAACAGCTCAGAGCCGAGGAGGCCCGGGAAGTAGAGGAGACACCGCGACAGACAGAGCTCCCTGTAGCTCTGGAAGCCTGGGTGAGCTAATCAGGGTGTGCATGGAAAGTGTTGGGTAGCTGCCGCATCAGTGAAGTCATAGGTTATTGTGGTTAGACAGGTGGGCTTGGGGTGGGACCAAGAAGGCCATGAGACGGCTGGGTTGGCTCTCCTGGAGACCAGGCCATGTGATGGGATGGTGGCTGGACACAGACAAGACTCGGCCTTTCTCCTTCCACTCCCTGGAGCTCGCAGACGCCATAGATAATTACCAGGTGATGTGATAAATGCCACCTGGAGAGGGTTCTGTGGGCAGGAGGACAGAATGGCCAGGGTGGGGGACACTCGAGGCCTCCGCTCTGAGCTGTTCAGCAGGCAGGGACAGAGGTGGCTACAGACACAGGTGTCGGAGCCAGGCCATCTCTGTGAGGCTTTGGTAGTGGGTGCCTCAGTCTGTGCACAACCATCCCAGAGGATCTATCCAACGACTCTCCCAGGGTAGCCCTGATTTCTGGATAGGAAACTGTGGCCAGGAAAGGGAGGGCTGCTCAGATCCTGGTGCAGGATCAGTGGCCGGCTGAGTCATGTTTGAACATAGAGACACTAAGACCCACTCATTCCGCTGCCATCCTGCCTCTAAGTTGGGGCGTTGACTTGGCCTACTAGGTACCAGGCCAGCTCTGCAACCAGACGCTCCTGGGCATTAACCAGCTGACAATTCTGGAGGCCCATACAATAGGCTGAGCTCCTATCTCTGTCCTCATGTTAAAGGTAAGTGCTGCAGTAGGGAATGCTAGGAACAGAGCCAGGGGCTGTCAGCCAGGTACTGGGGGCACAGGAGCTCTGCCCATGCTGTAGTGGTTGGTCAATACTTAGCTTTCTACTGATACCAGGTCTGGGGATGTTGGAGTCTGCTGTACTGGTACTTTCTAGGTTCTTTCTGTCCTGAGCAAAGGAAAACAAGCACAAAAGATAGTGAGATTTTTACATTTATTAAAAGTAGGAAAAGAAGCCATGCATGGTGTCACATGCCTGTAATCACAGCACTTAGGAGGTTGAAGCCGAAAGCTCACCATGAATTTGAGGCCAACCTGGGGTACATAGTGAGTCCAAAGCTAGCCTGAGCTACATAGTCAGACCCTGTCTTTAAAAAAAAAAAAAAGACAGAAAAGAACCAGGCTCTGCAGAGTGCGTTTGGCCAAGTAAAAGTAGGAAAAGAAATATCTCCTGCAGAATAAGAGCAGAACACTGTGAAAAGATACCGCAGCGTAGTGTTCAAGTGGCTGTGATTTGTGTATCTTCCACGCCTGACATCAGGTCTAGGCTTCCTTTCCGACACTGCCCAAGTGCCCCAGAGAAGTCCGTGTGCAGGGCTTTGGGACCTGTTCTGTGATTTTACAATCTCAGGTCGCTCCTACTTCCCCTGCCAGTCTGCCCAGCCCTACTGTCCTGCCTCACTTTCACCACTGGGTGACAGCGGCTCCTTTAATGAGCCAGGCTCTTTCTTCCATCTCTCGGTCTGTGTGGCTCTAGGTGTCCCTGCTTCTCTGTTCTCTGCTTCAGACAGTTAACGGGGTCTGAGGCCAGGCCCTCTGGCAACAGGCTGACTCGCTGCTCAGGAAGCATTTACAAAGAAGCCAAGTGAGACTCAGTGCTGTGAAAGCTTTGCTAAGCTCCCGCAGTCTCACTGTCTTTAGAGATGGTGAGTTCCCGGTGTGGGCAGGAGTCCAAGTTTTTCTGGACTGCTAGAAGAGCAGACCAAACAATTGAAGGTCTGTGATTCTAAAGGGGATTGAAAGGCTATGACATTTGGGATGGGTGGGGTGGTGCACTCTTGTAATTCCAGCTAGTTGAGAGGTTGAAACAGGATTGCCAGTTTAAAGCCAGCCTGGGCAATTTAGTGAGACTGCCTTAAAATAAAATGTAAAAAGAGCTGGGTATTCCTGTAATCCCAGATTTTGGGAGGCTGAGGCAGGAGGATTGCTGTGCAGGGCTTTGGACTACATAGTGAGTTCATGGCCAGTTTGAACTACATAGTGAGAGAACCTGTCTCAAAACAAATAAATAAAATGTAAGAAAAAAAAGAGGTTTGGGAGGCTCTTCCTTGGGCTCAATTCCATATATATATAAATATTTTAAAAGGTATAACACTTGCATTTGAAGTCAATACATCCCACCAGTTTACTAAATGGGGACACAATGTCCTCGATGATACCAGGTTTCCTGACTCCCAAGGGGCGCTGAGACTCTGCCCCAGAGGATGGGACACACTCATTTTACTTACTCATAGTGAGGCTGCAGTTTAGTGTCAGGGCTCTGTTTTGACCTTTGAGTGGCCCAGGAGACTCTAGACTTCCTGATTCTTCCTGATCCCCACGTGCAGTCAGCTTCCCACTGCAGCCAGAGAGATGACAGTTCCAGGAAGTGGTTTGCATGCTCCCCCCATCTT